AACACCATTATATCAAGACTATTTTATCAATATTCTATAATAATTTAGGCTAAATAATTTTCTCTGATATAGAAAAAATTTCAACGAATATTGTTATACACTCAATCTGACCACTTTATTTTAACTTTTAACCCCTCTCCAGGCCATTTATCTTATTCAAACCAGCGGAAAGCCTTCACCGAAGTCTCGTGAAGTGGATCCTCATATGGCGGACTTCCTTGACAGATGCCTCACAGTAGAGCCAGATGAACGTGCATCTGCTGAAGAGCTTTTGAAGCATCCTTTTCTCAACCTTACAAAGCCACTGCGCTGCTTGCATGCCCTGATTGAGGCGGCGCGTCGCAATCTCGGCAAACCGGTCTAACAACCCCAGACTATCTTTCATATCAGAATTCTTTCTATCCAGCTCATCTCACATTATCCTCTCTTTAGCGAGTGTGTACACGCACACTAGCATGTATATCCATATTTTAGCACATTTACTTTTACACTTCCCTACTCTTGTTCCAGACCGGTCTCCAGGGTCTAAGCCCTCGATCTTTTTGCCTTTCTTATTCATAGTAGCACTTTGGTTAGCTACAGGCGCTTCCTTCAGATACAATCTCTTTTTCTCTTTATTTTTGTAAAAAAATAATATATACTCCACCACAAGTCTGTCTATATGTTTATTCTTTTTTCCTTCATTGCGCTCAACCAATTTTGCCTGTGCAGACGAATTCATGCATATACATAACAGCATTAAGTGCAAATATTAAGAGTGGTTTTATGTTATCTATCCTAATTTGTTCAAGTTTATAGGAGCCTGTGCCTATTCATGTGTATAATTAAGAGAAAGAACACAAATTTATTTTACATCATTTTTCTCCTAATTTTGATCTATCTCCGTATTTTTATGAATTAATAAGTAATGATTAAATGCTGTCTTCTCTAGGCATCAGAATTTTTCACCTCACTCTTTTCTCTCTTCATCAGCTTAATTTTCGCCTCTTATCATGTCAATTTAAACCCCTTTACCTTGTCCAGTCCATTGATCTCAGTGCCATCTATCTTTCGCCTGTCATTCTTTATATACATCGGTGCTTATGGTTCAGTTTTAGCTCAAGTTGACTATATGCTCTAAGTTAAATTGTCGAATTCACACATCTTCAAAATTATTTATGTATCTATAACTGTAGTAGAGCTAAATATCTGGTCTAACACCTTACTTCCTCGTTCAAGTGTCCTTTCAAGGTGCATTCAGAATTCTATTTTAGTAACTATTCTATCATATTTCTTTATTTCTGTAAATGACTTTTTCATCATTCATACCTTCAATCTTTTCCGCTTTTGTGATAGAATTTCATGCACCAGGTTGACTTTGTGCCAGCTCGATTTTTGTCAACCATATGAAATTTGTCTTCCCATCGTTCAACCTATCCATAAGTATTCACGCGCTTATAGAAC